CTCCCGCCCCCCCCCCCCCCTCAAAATCTAAAAAAAGAAACTCTGGACATACACTTAAAATGTCACATAGATTCCTCTGCAGCAATTTTCTCTCATAGATTCATTTTAATAGCAATGTTCCCCTATGGATTCACTTTGTAGCACTGTTACTTCATAGGTCCATTATGTAGCAATGTTCCCACGTATATTCATTTGTAGCAACGTCCCCGCATGGATTCATTTTGTAGCAAAGTTCCCATGTAGATTCATTTTGAACCAATGAAACCACATAGCTGTATTTTGTAGCCAATATTGCCATGAAGATTAATTTTGTAGCAAAGTAACCACGTAGATTCATTTTGTAGACATGGGCCCATATAGATTCATTTTGTAGACATGTGCCCATATAGATTCATTTTTGTAGACATGGACCCATATAGATTCATTTTGTAGTCATGGGCCCATATAGATTCATTTTGTAGACATGTGCCCATATAGATTCATTTTGTAGACATGGGCCCATATAGATTCATTTTGTAGCAAGATCTCCACATTGATTTATTTTGTAGCAAAGTTCCCATGTAGATTAATTTGTAGCAATGTAACCACATAGATGTATTTTGTAGACATGGGCCCATATAGATTCATTTTGTAGACATGGGCCCATATAGATTCATCTCGTAGCAATGTCCATCGTCTTGATTCTGTACTGTCCCTCCTCTGTGGTTCCAGGTTCCGTTACTCAGAAGATGATGTCGTCAATTACCTGGTCCAGATCCTGCAGGGATTGGAATATCTCCATGAACAGAAGATCCTGCACCTGGACATTAAACCAGAGAACATCATGGTGTCTTACATGAACACCATTAAGATCATCGACTTCGGGAGCGCTCAGACATTCAGCCCCCTCATCCTGCGTCAGCTAGGAAAACGTGTCGGAACCCTGGAATACATGTGTATGTGAAACAACTAGTATGAGTAACCTTGGCTCTGCATTCACAGTGTGCCCACCTGATGATAAAACCTGGAATTAGTTCCCAATCAGAGAGGAATATAAGACATGAAGAATAATAATACAAAAAAACATCTAGTGTCATAGACAGCCCCCGAGGATAATGTCTGTGAAGGTTCTCATACATCCAGGTCACATGGTGTATCTGTAACAAATAAGTCAAGGCAACTGGACTGGCTGTATTTTTCTTGAAGACGTTTCATTGGTCATTCAACCAGCTTTCTCAGTTCAGAAATGCAACCCAACGCCAAAACACAAGATGAAGGACATTGTGTACGCAGTCCAGTGCAGTCCAGCGCAGTGAGGAGCGCTCAGAATTGTATGTCGGTGAAACAGAACAGCAGCTACGCCAGCGTATGGCACAGCATAGAAGAGCCAAACCCTCTGGTCAGGATTCGGCAGTGTACCTACATCTAAAGGACAAAGGTCACTCCTTTGGAGACAGTCAAGTACGCATCCAAGACAGGGAGGAGGACTGGCTTACAAGAGGTGTGAAAGAGGCCAGTTACCCTGTTTCCCCGAAAATAAGACCTACCCCAAAAATAAGACCTAGTACTATTTTTGGGAATTGTTAAAATATAAGACCTACCACGAAAATAAGACCTAGTTGTGACCATTCCCAGGGCCGGTGGTGGCCTAAGGGGGAACTTGAAGAGCCGCGGGAGAGGCGGGAGAGAATCAGCGGTGCCAACGAAGCCAGCGCTAAGGGAAGCAAAGTGGCAGCGGAGGGAGCAGAGCCGCATAAGCCGATGCCTCCTCTATAGCGCCGCCTCCTGTCGCAGGCGGAGTAATACCAAACGCACTCCGTCTGTGAGGAATCGATAGTGAAAGCGCGCTTCGCTCATTCTGGAGAGCCTGATTGCCCAGATCACCCTATTTTTGTACATGAATCAGTGTGGATTGTTGTACATTAACAAAAAATAACACCTACCCCGAAAATAAGACCTAGTGTGTTTTTTTGAGCCAAACAAAATATAAGACAGTGTCTTATTTTCGGGGAAACACGGTATGGAACAATGGAGAAGCCAAGCTTGAATAGAGGTGGGGGGGAGGGGGGAGACATCTATTGTATGCCACATACAATGCTGATTTAACACCTCTCTTTGGGCAGGTTAAGAACAACTCCTAGACTCCAATGATGTAAATACAGCCATCACCTGGTTGTGACTAACAGATTATGTGGATTGGAGCGACATTCACCATATTTATTCCCAGAGAATTTTTGTGAATTTCTCTGAATTGAGAAAGCTGGTCGGATGACCAGTGAAATGTCTTCAAGAAAAATACAGCCAGTCCAGTTGCCTCGACTTCTATTTTACAGATACTGAGGATAATATGTTTTTACTGTAATCAGCGCCATTTGTATGACATGATTATGTAAATAAAGTGCAAAAATATCTTGCTCCTCGTCAGATCTTTATGTATCTTTTCTGTATTTTCTTTGCAGCCCCAGAGATGCTGAAAGGAGAGCCCATTGGACCAGCGGCCGATATTTGGGGATTAGGTGTACTGACCTATGTGATGTAAGTAATACATGCGGTGCAATCATTTATAGTGAATATGCGAGTTTGGGGGATTTCACTTAAAGTGACATTAAACCCTCAGATTTTTTTACCAAAATAGTGTGATGTGCGCCTTACTGCAATCCATGGTAGTTTCCCTTCTCTTTGCTGCTCTTCCTTTTAAATCCGCATGTCTTCTCATGCTGGGCAGAACTTCTGTTTTGCAGCAGACTGCCTTGTCTCTGGAATGGATACATGGTGTCTGTGTGTAGGTTTGCAACCTGAGCCAGCACTACAGGAAGAGGCACTCAGCTGCAAAGGGAAGTTCTCCCCCAGCATGAGAAGACATGAGGATTTAATACATCCAGTATGCTGGATAATATTAATAATAAGTCCAGCTGCTCTGATATATTTTCTACAGATATTGTTCTGGAAGTGTCCGGGAATGTTCTGCAGCTCTACTTATGCAGGACAGTTGGGAGAGACCCACCAGGCTTACTCCATCATCATCCTCTCTTTATCTGGTTCTGTTTCTCTGTGCAGGCTCGGTGGACGCTCTCCGTTCTTTGAATCGGACCCGATGGAAATGGAGAACAAGATTCTAGCTGGACGGTTTGACATATTTAAACTCTACTCCAATGCGTCTCAAAGTGCTTCCCTCTTCATAAGAAAGCTGCTGTCCATTTATCCCTGGTGAGTGGCCGCATGGACACAAGTCATTCCTGAACTGCATGACGGAACGAGCTGTGCTCCCTCTAGCGGCCAATCAGATTCTTCCTTATGTGTTCTATTGTGAGAAAGCGACAAACTTAAAGTATTTCCACTCACCTCATAGTTCGAGCCGACGTGTGACAATGAGACTGTCACAGGTCGGCTCAATAGATCGGGAAGTGAGCGAACACATAGCGGCGCTCGCCCACTTCCCGATCCTGTTCCTGCAGAGAGCCGTGACTGTCACTCATGGCTCCCTGCAGAGATTCCCCCCTCCCCTGTCCGATCCTCCAGCGCTGGCTGGCGGAAGGGACGGGGGAGGGTACAGCTGGTTCTGCCTCTAGATAGGCAGAGCCAGCTGTCACTCACTCAGCTGGGTGGATCCAGACAGTAATGTCGGGATCCGTCCCGGCTGCGGCAGTCTCAGTATACCGCGAGCTGTAGCTCCCTATATACTGAGCTTTGGCTCACGGGAGGACGCTAGTTTAAGTCCTTCCGTGACCCTTAGGAGAACTATGGGGGAAAGCCCTGACCTTCAAGACCAGGTATTTACACCCCCTTCCTGGGCAGGCCATTTTTCAGTGTTCAGCGCTGCGGTACTTTGACTGACGTTTATTCCGTCATGCAACGCTCTACTGAAATTAATTTTATACAATTTTTTGGGGACAGATAGAGCTTTCATTTGGTGGTATTTAAACACCACTTGCGGGGGCGGGGGGGGGGGGGGGCGGCGCGGAGGGGGCACACCGATCGGCACCCCATACACGCGATGTCTGGTAACAGGCATCGCTGCCTGTTTTTAAATAACGGCCATTTCCCGCCGAGCGGCGGGCGCGAGGGGGCGTGTCTGAGAGGACGTCTAAAGACGCACGCTCAGATCTAGAGAGCTCCCGGCCGCCCGTTTTTTTTACTATGGCTGGCCCGGAGGTAGTTAATGATTATTCAATTTCATTTTTTGTTGATGGGATCAGAGTGTTTCCCATTAAAGGAAACCTATCCAAAAAATATAGCCACTACCCTTCCTGGCCACTATGCTGACCTTCTGTCTTCAGCGCTTTGAGTTGCTGGTCCAAAGCTGGTAGATGTTCAATTTTTGTTTTCTCATATTCCCGATCTAAATACTTGTTCTTGACCAGGGACTCAGAAAGCCGAGTTGGTGGTTCAGCATAACAACAACCATAAGTAGCGAGCATTTTCAGAAGGAGGTCAACAATGGCCCCTATTAGACAGCTGCGTTTCATTTCGCTCCGAATCATAATTCGTACAAATTTTCCGAATTTCGGATCCCGTATGCATTTGGTTCAAAAACAAAACTGAATGGGACATGTGACTTTTCTGGCCAATCAGATGTGTTTTTCAGTTTAATGCATCCAAATGGGTCTGAATACGAATTTTCGTTACGGCAACATGGGAGCCATATACAGTATATACATATAATACTAAAGCTGAGGCTCCTAGACCCGGATGGGATTTGGGATCCAAATTTCCAAATTGCATTTGGGAGCTCCTACAGGCCATTCGGGTCTGAGAGCCCCAGCTTTAGTAATTATTATTATTGCACAGGATTTATATAGAGCCAACAGTTTGCGCAGCGATTTACAATATAGGGAAGAGATTACAATCACAATACAAATCAAGACAAGATGGTAAGGAGAGCCCTGCCCCCGACGGCTTACAATCTAAAAGGGAGGGGGAAGTGATACATGAGGAGGGAGCTGTGTGGGGATGAATTGTTTGAGGACGTGATGGTTCAGTGGTTAGGTTGAGGTGGGATAGGCTTCCCTGCAGAGATGAGTCTTTAGGGATCGCCTAAAGGCAGTCAAGGTGGGCGACAGACGGACAGGTTGGGGTAAAGAATTCCAGAGGATGGGAGAGACTCTAGAGAAGTCCTGGAGGCGAGCATGGGAAGAGTTGACAAGGGAGCTGGAGAGCAGGAGGTCTTGGGATGAGCGGAGCGGAGTTAGGGTGAAACTTTGAGACCAGGTTTGAGATATAGCTAGGGGCGGAGTTATAAATGGCTTTGTAAGGCCTTGTTCACACCAAGCGCGGAGCAGATCCGGAACAGAGCAGGTGCAGACCGGATCAAAACTGCGTCCAATGTATTCCTATGGTATTTTGACCTCCAGTTCACATCGCAGCGTGCGGATCCAGGCCAGATCCAGACCGGATGAAAAAAATGCGGCAAGCCCTATTTTACCTGCTCTGGAACGCATCAAAAACGCATCTAAAACGCATCAAAAACGCATGCAAGTGCCTGAAAGTCCATGTTAAACTTAAGTTTTTTTTTTTTTTACCAAAACCGGCCCTAAACACATCCAAAACGCGTCTAAAACGCGGCACAACCCACTACACTGCGTGTGCAGCAACCTGACCGGATCTGGTCTGCATTTGGTGTGAACAAGGCCTAACTGATTGTTAATATTTTGAATTTTATCCTTTGGGCTATAGGAAGCCAGTGCAGGGATTGACAGAGGGGGGTTGCAGATACTGAGTTAGGTGAATTTAATATACAATATGTATATGGCTCCCAGACCCGAATGGCATTCAAGAGCTCCCGAATGCATTTCAGAAATTCAGATCCTGAATGCCATTGGGGTCTGGGAGATTCAGCTTTAGTATTAATATCTGTATCTGGTTTTCTGTGGTATTCGCAACGAGTATTCATAAACTCATCCGAAACTAATGAACATTTGGATTTCGTCCGAATCCCGAAATAACGAAATATCCGAACCGAACTGAACCAAATGTTTCCGCAGCTTACATGTCTAGCCCCTATACATCTCCCAGGTGTATTAAGATGATACAGTGATTATTCTGGAAGGGAGGAATCATCATGCTGTGATTTAGAGTTACAATAGATATAAACCCAGATACTAAAATCTCTAGAACCTCTAAAATGTTAATGTGCTTTCAGCCATTTTGAAAAGGTTTAAAATGATACCTGGTGATCCTGACATCAGTGGCGTCACAAGGGGGGAGCGGCTCACACCCAGGTGATACCATTGCAGGGGTATCACCAAAATGACTGACAGTCATGGACCGAGAGCCTGGCAGTTTCAGGAGAGAGGAGGGGACCCGGCGGCATACCTCTTCCCGCCGGGTGACTGTTCCCTCCTCTCTCTGCCGGCGTCCATCACCAAGATGGCTGTCAGGTATCAATGAGATCGTCACGCATGCGCAATGATGTCATCATCACGGTGGTGTGTCACCCAGTAACCGCTCTGGGTGACACTCGGCCTCGGGATGCCCATGCCTGACATGTCCCAGTTACGGCACTTCCTGTTTTTAATTTATATTTTTTCATTTAAAAATTGAAATCTCCAAATTCCTTACTGAGCCAATGCGACCCTAGACTATGGAAAACTGAAGGAATTAACCTCCTAAATGTTTATCCACAGGAGCCGACCCACATTACAAGAGTGCTTCTCCAACCCTTGGCTTCAGGACGCCTATTTAATGAAGCTGAGGCGTCAGACTCTCACCTTTACCACTAACCGCCTCAAGGAGTTCTTGGTGGAGCAGCAAAGGAGGCGCTCGGACATGGCCACCAAGCACAAAGTTCTTCTTCGCTCTTACCATGGAACGCAGCCATCAGCTCCCGTCACCCAGTGACCCCGGAAAAAAAAAGCCGTTGAATAAGGTGGTCACGAAGCCAAAGGTGCATTCCACTGGACGATAACAAAACGTCGGAGAAGTACTGGCAAGGAATACAAAGTCAATACCTTGAAGTGTAAATAAAAAGGACATCATATCTCTGGGCCAAGGGAGTCCCGGGCGGTCAGTATACCTCTGTGAATGACATAGTGTAGTCCAGTGAGACTGAGGAATAGGGGGGGGCATCGGAGAAAGTGGGTGCATGGTGCATGTGAAACACCCCCACTTCTGCAGCGAAGGAAGATCTGACCGCTGTGACCTACCACCTTTGGGAACTTTGGAGCCAAAGGATACTTGACCCGAGTCATCTGGCCCTTGGTTTCCATGGCCCCTCCGAGGACTGTTTGGCATCACTTCCTGGACACAACAAGTGGTCTTAATGCAAACAATTATGCAAGGTGTTATTTATTTTTGTTTTAACCTTTCCAGGGTTCCCAACACAAAGACCACCATGATACAAGTGGATACTCCTTTACAATAATAGACTCGTACGGATTTCAACTTTATTACTGTGTCTCCGTCCGAGATATTACAATAGAAAAGATTTGTTTACAAATTGTTCTTGAAAAGCTTAAAAAGGGCCTACAGGTACTAGGGGAGGGATAGACCATATGCCCGATAGAGGACATGATGGCTTTGACTTTGTAGGAATTGCGAGCCGTTGGAGGTCAAGCTTCTGTTGTGTCCGATTTTTTTATAGGCTAGTAAGAGAGAGTGAACACAATGGATCTTTATTGACCATAGGGCCATCCACTGATCGGAATTCTCCTGTACTCCTATTGTTCTAGGACCTCTGCGCTGTACTGTAGGGATGTTTCAGCTTTTACATCTCCTAAAAACCACCAAGTGTCTGTCTACTAGAATACCCACTTCCTGTCCACCCCTTTCTCTCCTCTCCCGCCCCCTTGCCTCGTGTTAAATGAGTTGGTACGTACCAGCAAAGTCTTCCATATCTTCTACCGCCAAGTCTGAACATTACTGGATCCTGGTCTTGATTACGGGATACCTCTAAGTTGTAGCATTGTCCATATTTTCAACCGCTGCTGCACCCTGAACATTACTCCTTGGTAGGGATACCGTGTTCCATACTTCCCTTCACATACATGTGTCTGTGCCACTGTCTGGTCCGTTGATCCCTCTCTGGAAGTAGAAGATGCAAACTAGTCAGCTAGTCCCCCAAAGAGCCAAGCCACCGATGAAGGAAAGAGGAAACCACATGCCCATTGGATAGGTTTCGGACTTGCCTAATGGCCGAGAGCAATGTCCTTAATGACGAAGGTAAACAGGAAAGTGGGGCACAGAGGGAGAGAGGAAGTGAAACTGTCAGATTCTAGGTGAACCCGGCCTGCTCTGGTTACAACCAACCCTTGGGGCTGGAAGAAGGACAAGGGGGGCGGGGGTGACGTTCTGGCGATCTCGGAGGACGTGGCTAAAGGGCTTCACTGTAACGGTGCCACTTGAGTTTGTACATTTGTAGAAGGGGGCCCAGCGGTCCTCCTAAAGCTGCTCTTGAGCTGCATATTTATTCACTCAAAAAAGGAAAATGGATTTATTTATTTATAAGAATTTGTGTTGCTTTCCTGAGTTTGTATTTTGCCCGACCCCCACCCCACCCCACCCCGACACTTTTTTTTGGTGTGAAGTTGAATAAATAAAATAAATATATTGAGGTTGCACGGGCCTCTCTCCCGCCCCCTTGCCTCGTGTTAAATGAGTTGGTACGTACCAGCAAAGTCTTCCATATCTTCTACCGCCAAGTCTGAACATTACTGGATCCTGGTCTTGATTACGGGATACCTCTAAGTTGTAGCATTGTCCATATTTTCAACCGCTGCTGCACCCTGAACATTACTCCTTGGTAGGGATACCGTGTTCCATACTTCCCTTCACATACATGTGTCTGTGCCACTGTCTGGTCCGTTGATCCCTCTCTGGAAGTAGAAGATGCAAACTAGTCAGCTAGTCCCCCAAAGAGCCAAGCCACCGATGAAGGAAAGAGGAAACCACATGCCCATTGGATAGGTTTCGGACTTGCCTAATGGCCGAGAGCAATGTCCTTAATGACGAAGGTAAACAGGAAAGTGGGGCACAGAGGGAGAGAGGAAGTGAAACTGTCAGATTCTAGGTGAACCCGGCCTGCTCTGGTTACAACCAACCCTTGGGGCTGGAAGAAGGACAAGGGGGGCGGGGGTGACGTTCTGGCGATCTCGGAGGACGTGGCTAAAGGGCTTCACTGTAACGGTGCCACTTGAGTTTGTACATTTGTAGAAGGGGGCCCAGCGGTCCTCCTAAAGCTGCTCTTGAGCTGCATATTTATTCACTCAAAAAAGGAAAATGGATTTATTTATTTATAAGAATTTGTGTTGCTTTCCTGAGTTTGTATTTTGCCCGACCCCCACCCCACCCCACCCCGACACTTTTTTTTGGTGTGAAGTTGAATAAATAAAATAAATATATTGAGGTTGCACGGGCCGCCATGTGTAATCTGTAATAAAGTTGTTTATTTTTAATTGTAACTAATTGCTTGTAAGTATGCTCCTACATAGCCCGCATCGGCAGTCACGTGATCCAAGCGGGCATTCCGCTTCTCTCCAATCACAGAATGTTTTTATTATTTATATTATATACATTTTAAAATGTATTACAGGCAGTCCCCGAGTTACAAACATCCGACTTACATACGACCCCTACTTACAAACGGAGGCTATTACTGTACAGCAGGGGTAGTTGTAATGCTACCGCGCTTGTGCCAACGAGGAGTGCCCGCCTTGTCGTGTCTGGTTCGTAGTACTGTACGTACATTACAGGAAGTTGGCTCTTGTTAGACCTGCGGACGAGGGGTGCCCGCCTTTTCTTTCGGGTCACTGTGAGGTTTTTACTGCTGTCTGTATCGTCATTAGAAAGATTTAATCTCACTTCCTGTCCTTGAGGCAACAGGAAGTGAGAGGAAATCTACTCCTAGGAAGGGAAATTCACTCCTGTAAGAGTGATCATGGGAAAAAGGTGTCTCCACTGAAGCTTTATCACCAATCCTTGTTTCCATGACAACCCAACATTTTCTACATCCAATTGGCACAGGGACAGAAGGTGAAGTGAAATCTTCTGAACCCGGCACACACAGCAAAACAAACGTTACAGGGGGTTACAGGGCAGCCATCAGAAATTTTGGGGCCCCTTACACGGCTTTAGGCCGGGCCCCCACCGCGCCGCTGGACGCAGGGCTTAGTGACGCGCTGGACACAGGACCCACCTGAGAGTGACCCTGCAGAGCCCACCATAGATGCTGCACAGCCCATCTGAGACTGTCTATGGTGGGCTCTGAAGGGGTCTCAGGTGGGCTGGTCAGGGCTGCATCCCTCCCCTCCCTCCTTTCCTTCCTTCCTAGCTCCTCTTACCTGTACACATGGCCTTGTCTGCCGCCGAACCGGCCAGAAGTGATGTCACTTCCGGCCAGTCCGACATCAGACGAGCAGCGTCGCTGATGGGGCCCTAGCTTGTCTCAAAGCCGCTGGAGTGGCAATGCTGGGGCCCTGTGCTGCTAGGGCCAGGCCTCCGCCTCCTCGCCCTCCACCGTCGGCCGATAGTCATATAAGGGACCCGGGCGGGCCCCCCATGCTGCCCGGACCCCTTACTGGAGTATCTGCCGTACCCCTGATGGCTGCCCTGGGGGTTAACCCTTCCCTATGCTATCCAAATACTAAAAACTATTTTTTGGGCTGGAGTTACACTTAAAAAATGTCCCTGTTCCAACTTACATACAAATTCAACTTAAGAACAAACCTACAGAACCGATCTTGTTCGCAACCCGGGGACTGCCTGTATTATATAAATATTATATCATTGCTTGTAAGTATGCTCCTACTTATCCCGCATCGGCAGTCACGTGATCCAAATGAGCATTCCGCTCCTCTCCAATCACAGAATGGTATCACAAGTTGGGATGCACCGAAATGACATTTTTAGACCGAAACTGAAATTTCAAAATTTGTCAGGCCGAAAACGAAAGCAAAAATTACTTTTTTTTCCCCAAGTTTTTAAATTAGTTTTTTTATTACTTTTACTGTTAAAGGCTTCAGGGAAATATCAGGAGTGTAAACAGATCCCTGATATTTCCCTTTTAAAATAAAAGAGATTGAGTCCTCAATCTCTTTTTCTGCAGCCCCAGCACTCAATAAACAGGTAGTTCTCAGTACAGAGACTTCCTGTTTATTCATAAATCGGGGAGACAGTAAATATTTACTATCCACCCAGTCATGAATGGACAGGAAGCCTCTGTACTGAACTGTTTCCTGTTCATTCATAAAGTGAGCAGATAGTAAATATTTACTAAGTCCCCATTAATAAATGAACAGGAAGTGATGTATAGCACTTCCTGTTCATTCATAACTGGGGACATATAATCACTATGTCCTCAGTTATTAACAAACACAAAGTGATCACTACTGATTGCCCAGTGTTTGTGCTCCGCTCTCCATCTTGACTGCTCCGCCCCCTCCCGCCTGTCACTGGAGCCAAGCTCTCCTCCCCGAACTTCCCTGCTCGACCTCCTGACAGCTTCTTTCGTCCCCACTGTGCACCTGCATTTGCTCTGTGTCCCCATTGATCCCCACTGCCTCTGCCAACACAGGCGAGAAGAGCAGCGGGGATCGGAGGGGGACACAGACTGGCGCCCAGCGGGGAGAAGAGAAGCTAGGGGTGCACTGCATTTTCAGCCATTTTTGTACTATCAGCATTTTGCCCATAGTACCATTTTTGGCTAAAATGTTTCAACAGCCGAAACTTTGGTGCATCCCTAAAAACAAGGCATCTTGGGACATTTAAAGGGACACCCTGGTGAATAGTGAAAATTCAGCAATACAATACATACCAGGGAAATGGCCTACCTGCTCAGATTTCTCATAGCGTACCAGGCCACTCCAATAACTGAATGGTGGTCTGGGAACCCCTTTTTGTGTACTGCTTGTAATGCAGGAGAGGTGTTCCTAACCACACCCACTGCTTCCTCTTTGCTGTTTCCAATATACATGAAGCCTTTTGTACCAAAGTGATGTTCACCAAAGCCGTCTTCCATGAAAGTTAGAATCTGAGTGGAAATGCATCAGGCAGAAAGAAAGTTGCAGAGCACAATTCAGGCGGCAGACACACCCAGTGCACATGTGAGGAGCTCTCTACAATCTGGCTGCAGGTGATTGCATAATACTTAAGTGAGTGCTATGTCTGACTTAAGCACAACTGCCGTATTTACTGGATAGCATTTGTTGATGG